TTTCTCAAACCATGAGATTAAAAGTGAGTAATGTTATAGCCACTAACCTGTTCATGCAAATATGCATTGAAAACAATGAGATAAAAATATCTCTCCAAATGTGTCAGTGCTCTTTTCTGAAAATATTCTTTTGCACTATATCCCTGAAAAATGAAAAATAACTTTTCTGAACTATAACATATAAGTCTTAAAAATTAAAATTTTGTTATGGTTTTTAAAAATGAGCAGGAACAGCATCCTGGACTGAGACCTGGACATTGACAGTCGGGCAATGTTGGTGCTCAACGACAATAATTTATTGGAACCAAATTCAAGCTGAATGTGTTTAAATTATTACATGTTTAGAACTGTTTCCTTGGAAACAACCTGTCAACTTACATCAATTTCATAATCTTCTTTAATTCCCTCAAGTTTCTTCTTGCATTCAGTTATCTCCGTTCTCAAATTTTCCAAATCACAGCAAAGATCAATAACTACATCAACCTAAATTTAAGCGAAAAAATATTCTAAAGTGAGATAAACTGGAACCAATTATTCAAAAAGGCATGAATGTCATAGAGTACTTAAAACAAATTATATTGAGCAAATCTTTAATACCAGTATATGCATTTATACTGTCATTTTGAGTAACAGCTAAAATTTAAGTCTATAATATATAACATCATTATGATAAGAAGATATTCACACAGCCCTGCCAAAGACAGACAGACATTGACTACAGATATCAGTTGTCACATATCAACTGAAGTTCAAATGAATGCATTCAACTTACTTCTTGTTTTATTTGAGATCCATTTGGTAAATAATCTAAAAGTTTTTTAATGATATTGAATTCCCCTCTCTCAAAATTTGGACTTCTTTCATTAATAGGATAAGGAGGCTTACTGAAAAATAAAGGAAACAGCACATGATTAACAAGCCATGCATAGCACAGTCCCCGTTAGTTATCAAATTTAGATAATATAGTTTTGTTTATATTAATATAGCTGGAATATAACCATGTCAGAAATATGATTAAAATGATTGACATTTGTATCTGATCGTCAAAAAAGTACTGGAACAGCATTCAAAATCAGCCATTTTGAATACATGTATATAATATAACATGATGTATAACGAATATATATAATTTGAATATAATCAGTCAAAGCTATGGCTCTAGAAGCCCAATCATTAAAACAAAATGGCCGCCAGACAGCCATTTTGAAACCAATCTGAAAAATAAATGATGTGCATCAGGAACCTGTAATGTCTAACATATGTACCAAGTTTGAACGAAATCCATCCATAAATGCTTGATATTTGATGATTTTTAAGCACAAAAATGGCCACAATTTGGCCATTTTGAATAGGATCGCCAAACCAATATATCTGTCTATCTATAACATGATGTATAATGAATATTTTATATTTGAACATAATCAGTGAAAGCAAGTCAGAGATATGGCACAAGAACCACATTCATTAAAACAAAATGGCCGCCAGTCGGCCATTTTGAATCTTATCTTGAAAAAACAAAATTATTTGCATCAAGGTCCCATAATGTCTAATGTATATACCAAGTTTGCACAAAATCCATCTGTAAACAGCCGAGAAATGCTTTATTTTTAGGATTTTTTAGCACAAAAATGGCCGCCATTCGGCCATCTTGAATCAGATCGTAAAACAAAATGATGTGCATCAAAGCAATTGACGATGGACAAAACAATGTTCGACAATCACCTATATGAACAGCTTCACTCTGTTATCTATGATGACAGTAGAGCTAAGAAGGGTAGGATGACAGTGGAGCTAAGAAGGGTAGGATGACAGTAGAGCTAAGAAGGGTAGGATGACAGTAGAGCTAAAAAGGGTAGGATGACTTTGGAGCTAAAAAGGGCAGGGTGACAGTAGAGCTAAAAAGGGGAGGATTACTTTGGAGCTAAAAAGGGAGGATGACAGTAGAGTTAAAAAGGGT